CTATAGCATGTCTGCAGTCTCTGACCATCTCCTATAGCATGTCTGCAGTCTCTGACCATCTCCTATAGCATGTCTGCAGTCTCTGACCATCTCCTATAGCATGTCTGCAGTCTCTGACCATCTCCTATAGCATCTCTGCAGTCTCTGACCATCTCCTATAGCATCTCTGCAGTCTCTGACCATCTCCTATAGCATCTCTGCAGTCTCTGACCATCTCCTATAGCATGCCTGCAGTCTCTGACCGCTTTTTTGCAGCATTACATTTGCTGAAAATCTAAAATAACTTTGTATGCCGAAACATTAACAGAACTCTTCACCTTCATTGGGAACACAAACTAATTTCAGAGGGGTGTGCAAATACTTCTGGCCATCCGGTAAGTTTGATGGTGCGGTGTCCACAAACATTTGGTGTATATAATGAGAAGCTCTGTGTACATATATATTTACAAACTCTGCACTCAAACAACATTATGATTTGCGGAATTGGGTGCATCAAAGAGATTTGAAGACTAGTTTCTCTTTCACAGGTCGTCATGCCCTGGCAGTCATAGTGGGAACAAAGCATGCAAATAAATGTCACTTCCAGTTAATGGCCACTAAGGGGTGATATCTGTTCTCAGCATCATCTGTTATCTGACATGCTGCAACACACTGTCGCTCCAACATTTGCAACTGAATAATGCTGGTAAAGGCGTATTCCACTTTTTGCAAAAAATGTATAAATGTCCCCGTATTGCAAAAGTAAAATAATGGCAATTATCATTTTATGGGCATCGGAGCCCACAAAGCATTGCAACCGCGGTCAGTGGATCGCAGGGCAATGTCCAGGCTCCTGAAGACTCTTCCCCTAGTCCCAGATTATACCAACATATGGACCTTCAGTATAGGAGCTACAGGAATGGACTATATGTGTGGTGACATCACCGTACTTGCACTCCACTAAGAACAACATGTCTCTCGGCCGCGGTGCAAGATGGGACTCGTAGTTTTTTCATTTGCAGATACTGTGAATGGATCTGTGAATGAATTCATTAAATGGCTGTGCTGGCCGAGCCGTGCTGAATTAAAGAATACACAGGAGAAGCACCCCGCAATTTCGGCAAGTGGGGAAGCAGGTTGAGCATGGAGGGGGGGGAGGCACAATGTTCCATGTTACACCCCAACTATAGATGGAATATGGTATTAAAAGTGGAATTATCCTTTAATAGCAAATACTTTTAAAAACACATTTATGTGAAGAGTTTTAACTGCCAATGTATTTGTCATTTTGATCCACACACCTCCTGCAGCCAAGATGGTGACACTACTATTTCCTGTTGCAACTTTGTGGCTTCCTCTGTCACCTTACGCATTGGACAATTGATCACATGACTGAACACAATTTCACATTCTTCGGCTAGTAAGTTCAGGTATATGTATTATATATGTATTACTATGCAATAGAGTTCTAATATTCTAGATCTAATCTTAGAGTTCTTAAGTCACTTACCTCCCCGTAAGAGTACCGACTGCTACAACAGAACCATTTGGATGGAAGCCGGCAGACTGGGCAGGGTCCTAAAAGAGAACAGTTTGCTTTAAAACTGAACCTGGGGACAATCCAAAACTACCCCCGCGCACTGCAAGGGTTAAATGCTTGTTTCTTTGCCTAGGCTACCAATATAAAGCATATCTACTTACCTTACCCCTCGCTACCCCAGGCTCCTTCTTCCATGCAGTGGGTCCACTACCGACTCTACTCTTCAAAGCTCCAGCCACCAGTTGTAGCTCTGACGTCATCCTATACAATGCAGGATCATCAGTCCGACATTGTAAGTGAAGACGCAGAGGGCCCACCCACAGCTGGAAACTTTGGAGAGGAGAGGAGAGGTGAGCACCGGTTGCCCGGGGAGCGAGGGATAAGTTAAGCAAAAGTCCTTTTTTACTGGTACCCTAGACAAAAGCAATCATTTTAGTTGTAAGCCCTCAGGAGCAGGGCCCTCCTTACCATCTTGTCTTGAATTGTATTGTGATTGTAATGTCTTATCTTGTAAAGCGCTGCGCAAACTGTTGGCGCTACATAAATCCTGTATAATAATAATAATTTAAACCTTGCAGTGCAAAGGGGAGCCACACAGCAAGGGTAGCTTTTATAATCCCAGACTTCAGGTTATGTCCAATGGTAGCACCCAACACATAAATAACCCCAATTTGCCTCTGCTCAACCCACACAAAATAGCTACTTACCTCAATAACTTTGTTCCAGATTGGGCGATGGCTAATTGCATCCCATAATATTATCTGCTTGTCATGGCCACTGGTCAGGAACTGAAGCTTCTGGGAATTTGCGGCCAACCCCCACAGTTCGTCCGTATGACCCTGAGATATATAGTAATTGTGTGCAGGAACATTAACAATTATGTCACATTATAAAATATAGTCATGGTTTTTCTATCATTGCTACTACCACGCTTGCATATGATATATGAAGATCAGTGACATGTATTACATAGTTACATAGTATTTGAGGTTGAATAAAGACATTAGTCCATCAAGTCCAACCTATTAGGATCTCATTCTAGGAGTACCTGTACCCCTGTATATTACGGTCCCTTAAGAAATCGTCCAAAAGTTTCTTGAACAATTCCACATTATTTGCTGAAATCGCCGCCTGTGGCAGTGAGTTCCAGACCCTAACTGATCTTACTGTGAAGAACCCCCTTCGCCCCTTGTGCTGGAATTTTTTTTCCACCAATTTTAGGTGATGGCCTCTAGTTTTTGTAATGGAGTTAATTTTAAACAGTTTATCGCTAATGTTGCTACCACCATTGAACATTTTGTACATGGAAATCATATCCCCCCTTAATCTCCTCACCTCTAATGTGAACATGTTTAAATTTAGTAGCCTTGTCTCGTAGCTCTGGTCCTCCATACCCCTAATTAGTTTGGTTGCCCTCCGCTGGACTCCAACTCAAGGACATCTTTTCTGATCCAGAACTCGACCGCGTACTCCAGATGAGGTCGAACCAATGATCTATAAAGTGGCAAAATTATAGACTTGTCCCTGCAATACTTTGTCACAGTTGAGCAACGGTTGCTATGGAAGGGGGGTCCATCAATATTTTGTTATGGGGACCGATGATCTGTAGTTAAGCCCTTGATCAGGAGGTTCAGATCTCTATGGTCTAGTTAGAAATGTTATTCAATTTTTGTTGCAGTCAGCTCCTGCAAAATAAATAATTCAGTTCTGGGGTGTTAAACCCCCTTACTCTATGTCTTGGGGACTCTTTAGGTCGAGTTCTCAGGTCTGCACGCCTGCTGTGCCCATTATCAGAGGTTTCTACTATATTTGCTGCATTTTCTATATTTACTATATAATAAGAAGAATGTAACCGGATGAGCTGGGAAACACAAAGGACGGCGGTAACATCCAAGTCGGGAAATATGGCAGGGAGGTATTGCTTCTAAAGTATCCAAGACATATAGAAAGCAAGGGGCTGACTTAGCTCACCAGGCTGCAACTATAACTAAATTATTATTTTCAGATGGACTGACCCTTTAATTTTTTTTACAAGTTATCTACAAAGTGCCCAGCACTGTGTAGCAGACTGTTATTCTCTATTGCCTGACTACAAAGTACAGAGATAATTTTGTATTAGAGTGAGGATGAGGGTAGGATAATTTTATTACATGTTTAGAAACATCTTATGGCATCAAGCACTTTCCATGTCTCTCTGCTACCCACAAGAAAACATGATCAATAAATAGAATTGTATCGGAACTCCACCTACCTGGGTGATGGTGGTGAAGTCTCCAGATAAAGTACCCTGAAGAACAAAGTTTCTAGTGGTACCAATTAACACAACGTCCCCTTTTCCTTCTGCCACCGTCCGAATAGGTCCAAACTGTTCCGGAATCTTTTGGGGGGTGAAAAAGGAAAGTCAACACAGTGAGTGAATGCCAACAAGTCATTGAGGTCTGACTTTTCTTCACATTATTGATAAGGCAAGAACAGGCAGTGCATTTTTTATGAAGCTTTTTGTTTAGCTTATGTTGATATTTCCATATTTGCATCAAAACATTTAGCTGACAAAAAGAAATATTGCACCATTTTTGAATTGTTATTCTTTTACATAAAAAGAGCATTTAAAGCAAATCTCCAGCTAGTGACATAACTATGGCCATAGCAGTGCATGCGGATTCTAAGGGGCCTGGGGTGGACGGACTCATCAGAATTGATACTAGAATTGATAATATGGCTACAACCCAGCCAATCTGAGATGAGCCCTGTAAACCTTATGCAGATAAAAATCCCCTCCTTCACCTTCTCATCTCCATAACCTCTCCACCTCATCTCCATAACCCCTCCTCCACCTGCTAATCTCCATAACCCCTCATCTCCATAACCCCTCCTCCACCTTCTCATCTCCATAGCCCCATCTCCTCATCACCATAACCCCTCCTCCACCTTCTCATCTCCATAGCCCCATCTCCTCATCTCCATAGCCCCATCTCCTCATCTCCATAGCCCCATCTCCTCATCTCCACACCCCCACCTTCTCATCTTCAAAATCCCTCCTCCACCTTCTCATCTTCAAAATCCCTCCTCCACCTTCTCATCTCCAAAATCCCTCCTCCACCTTGTCATCTCCATAGCCCCACCTTGTCATCTCCATAGCCCCTCCCTGTCATCTCCATAGCCCCTCCCTGTCATCTCCATAGCACCATCTCATCTCCATAGCACCATCTCATCTCCATAGCACCATCACCTCAACCCCTCCTCCTCATCTCCATAATCCCTCCTTTTGACCAGGCACATAGCACAGGAAGTTATTAGCGAAGATTTCTGGCAAAATCAGCAGCTCATTTTTGCACTTATTGAACAGATAGAAAAACACTTTCAATAGTCTATTTAACGGACCAAAAGGGAGAAAATAAGATAAATGTTCTGTTAGGTTTTATATACATTTAGAATTAGCAAATGACACATGGTGATAAAAATGGCGCTTTTATGCAGGGATCTCAAGTCTCCCTGATGTTCAGGGAGTCTCCCTCTTTTGGACAGCAGCTCCCTGATGTCTGCGAGAGAGGCATTTTCTCCCTGAAAGGTTTACCGTATATACTCGAGTATAAGCCGAGATTTTCAGCCCATTTTTTTGGGTGAAAAGTCCCCCCCTCGGCTTATACTCGAGTCAGCGCCAGGTGTCATCTTACTTACCTCGCCGAGCGTCGCGTCACTGCTGCTCCGGTGTGCGGCGCTCCGAGCGGGGTCACCTGGCAGTCTCCGGGTCCTAATTTAGGTGGCCGGAGTATTGTATTATTGGTATATGGATTTTATTTTACTCTGTGTATATGTATATGTATATATAAATAGAATCATTATTATTTCTTTTATATTCTGACGACAGCCGCTGTAAAAAAACCAACCCAAAAAACAGAAATGGCACCTCCCTGAAAGGAGATGGGAACCTCCCTGAAATAAGGTTTTGCAGGTTGGGATGTCTGCTTTATGCTTTTATGAAATGTTACTAATATTTGTTAACAGGCGTAAACAAACCAAGAAAGAGAACCCATGAAATACATTTTTGGTAAAGAGAAAACACATCTCTCACCTCAACTATACTGAGTTTCTGATAGTTTCCATCCCAGGATATAATCTTCCGGTCCTTCCCTCCAGACACCAGCGTGCCGTCTCTCTGCATGCACAGTGCAAATATTCCACCGTCGTGGGCTCCCTGGACAGCATGGCTGATCCTATTGGAACCTATGAAATTACAAAAAACGTTAATTAATTAGCTTTCTTAAAGGCTTGATCAGCATAATTAACTTTAAAGATCCTAACCCGATAGTGACGGCGGCTAATGTGTGATACTTTGATCCTTTCCTCTGCTGCGTGATAATGAGAGCCATTGACTGCCTGAAATCCTCATCAAGAAAGATTAAAGTGCATCTAAAACCCAAAAACTAAAATTGTAATAAGTATATAATGCAGCTTAATAGCCCTCAGCTGTGGTGGTTCTATTAGCTTTCTTTTTTTAATTGTTCTTTTGTTGTTCACAGAAGGTAACTGATACAATTTTTTCGTATATCAGTTCACTGCACAGGAATTTACAAGAGCATTCGTATTCTGGCAAGATAAAAAGTTACTTCTCTGTGCTTTCTGAAAATGTTGAAAAAAGAAATGAGAAAGTTCAACACCACCACATTTAGGGACTGGTAAGGTATAATATATAACATTTTTGTTTTTGGAGTCAGATGCCCATTAAACCCTTCCTACCAGCCCCCGCCACCATTGTAAGAGTAGCTAACACTGCAGACCAGACCTGGGCATTCGACAGCCATATATGGCCCTTGGTCTGTGGCAGTCGGGTCCCTGGTCCGCACAAACTCCGATCACCAACCTGCGCTTATTTATGGCTGGCTGACAGTAGGCGCAGCGGCCTCCAGGGATGGTGCATCCACTGCAAGCCATAGTCTAGCACAGGTCCATGTCCGGACCACATTCCTCTTAAGTACTCGGTTGCTAGGACCGTTGGTGTCCTAGCAACCAATGCCATCAAGGGCCCTCCTCTGCAGTCACTGGTTGTCAGGACCGCTGAGTAGCCGTGAATAAATTACCCATAGAAGAGGGATGACAGCTGGAGAAAATGTCCAGGTGACCATCTCACGTCTCGTGTCCTTCCACAGTATGTCCAAAACTAAAAAGTTTTGATAGGAGATGGGTCTACATTTTTAAAAGATTTAAGAGGAGTCTCCAGAATCAGTTTTAACAATCCGATCCCAAAAAAATGTTGGCAAATTGTAGTTATAAAATTGTCATGTAAACAATATTTGGAACAAGAACACAAAACAAATGTTCAAGCAGCAAGCGGAAATTAACCTTTGCACTTGCCAATCGCTTCAACAATAAGTCATTATCGCGTGTTTTGACACGTCTATAAATTATTTGTATGAAATTTTCTTTTTATAAGCAAACTTTTTTTTTTTTTTTTACATTTTAAAACCCATCTCCAGGCAAATAAAGCACCTTTGTAGTGGGGCTACCTCAGTACCGCAAGGGTTACGTGCTAGTTTTTGTCTAGAGGCTGGAGTAAAGCAGATTTGCATATCCAATCCCCACACCCCTGGTGATCTGCACTCCACCCTGTTGCTTTGATTGGCAGAATATTTACTCCAACCCCTAAACAAAAATGAGCATCTAACACTTGTAGTGCAGGGATAGCCCCACTACAAGGGCACTTGTTTTTTAGTTTGCCCAAAGATGGGCTTTCAATTTTGTAGCGCACAATGAAAAAAAAAAAATAATAATTTTTACCTTTTCCCCAAACCAGAAGGTTCCCGCTCGAGTCTCCTGTGATGGAGTCCCCATTTTCGGAAAAGGTGACGCACAACACAAACTTTGGTTTTTCTTGTTTCTGTGTTAGGATAAAACACATGCGTCAGAGAACCATCGGCATACAAAGTGGAACAATCAAAATAACAAATTGCTGAAATAATAGCAGAAAGGTGTAGAGCTTTTACATGCATTCCTATGTTTAGTACCAACAAAAAAGATATCTTCACAACTGTTGTCATTTTTTGTTAATGAAGTTAATGTAAAATATAGCACAGAGGAATATTCTTTATATTTAATATCTTGGTGAGCTTTATGCAACAGCAGAGACTCTCTACAGGCTCTTTAGGCAGATGTGTTAATAAAAATAAAAAAAAGACAGCCAAATGAAAGAGGGATGCAACCCCCTCCATCTCTCCTAGAAGAGACAGGACCCTCAGAATTAGGCCTCATTCACACGGTGTTAAGTCGAGCCATACACGTCTGTGCGGCAAGCGCGACCATATCTGGCCGTACACATCCGTCTGGCATGCACGCCCATATCGGGCCGTATGTGCGACGTGTAGCAGCCTGTTCTTCCCTATGGCAGGACACCCAAGCTGCACATCTGTGTGGGTTCAGGTATCCGTACTCGGACAGGATACACGGATGTGCAGTTCGGGTGTGCATATGACAGCGTACGGCCATGTCCTCCCATAGGGAAGAACAGGCTGCTGCGTGCAATCACACGCAGCACCTGTCCCTCCCGGGAATGACCCCGACAGGCCATGTACACATGCCGACTTAACCCTGTGTGAATGAGGCCTGTAGACAGTGCTAGGCTCTTCTATTAGAAAGCCCAACATGATTTGCAAGCCGAGTGTCACCCTGAAATAAAAGTTTGCTAAATATTGCACACAAACAAAATATTATATAATATCATAAACCTGTAAACCATAAAAAATACCAAAAACCAATAGTGTTTCACTTTAAAAGAGACACAGTTCCTTTGCCCATTTAGGCCCTGAATGGGCAAAATGACAGGGTCTCTTTAAAATAGTAAACATGCCTTTAAATATTTGTATTGACTTGTTAGAATGCTCTTAATTTTACTACACAGCTCCTCTACTGAAATAAGCAACACTGCATGAAAGTGTGAGACGAGCCTGAGGGCCTGCATATATATATTTTTTATTTTTTTCAGATACACACATGTAATACCTGGTGGATTCATATATTTATTATTAACATAAGATGTGGGAACAGTAGAAGGAAAATGTAAAACATAGCTGACCAATAGGACGTGTGTATGCCACCTAGGTATGAACAGAACTGTAAATTAGGGCTGTATCTTCTCTGAGATCAGTATAATTAGAGTTCGTATTGCTGACTTCATTAGGATGCTAAAGCCAACTGTCATGGCCTTATAGTTAAGATTCCCCAGCATGTCTTCAGCAGGTTTGACGGGGGTCAGTTGTTGGCATAATCAGCGTTATCTCCTTGAGCTAAGGTCGATTTGATATGCTAAAATGGCCAACAGGCCCTACAATCACAGGTGGTGTTTTGGGAGTATCGAGGTCGGTGTTGACTCAGGAAGATAACACTTTATAAAGCTGTTCTCAGAGACAGAATGGAGCTGAACATTAAAGGAGAACTATGGGGTCAGGGCTTTTCCCCATAGTTCTCCTTAGGGTAACGGGAGGACACAAACTAGCGTCCTCCAGTCACACTAAGCTCAGTATACCGCGAGCAACAGCTCGCGGTATACTGAGACGCCGCAGCCGGGGCGGATCCCGACATCGATGTCGAGATCCGCCCAGCTGCGTGAGTGACAGCTGGCTCTGCCTATCTAGAGGCAGAGCCAGCTGTACCTGCCCCCTCCCCCGTCCGTTCCGCCAGTCAGCGCTGGCGGATCGGAACGGGGGGAATCCATCCCCTCCCCTGTCACGGCAGAGAGCCGTGACAGGATCGAGAAGTGAGCGAACACCGGTATGTGTTCGCTCACCTCCCGATCTACTGAGCCGAACTGTGACAGTCTCATTGTCACAGGTGGGCTAGAACTATGAGGTGAGTGAAAAGCACTCACCTCATAGTTCTCCTTTAATTTATGGCCACTGTTTATTATTTCAAAGAGACTTCAGTTGCCATCCAGTCACTGTCATGAGAAAGATATGATTGTGTTTTTTGGACCAATCAAGGATTCCTCAAGTGATAGAATGGAAGCAACTAGGATAAAGATAGATAGGCCAGGGCCATCAGGAGGACTTCACTGGAACAGAGGATGACTAAAGCCACACTTCAAGAGGGATAAACCGAAGAAGCCATTTTTCGGAGAACAGCTAATGGCCAAGAAGTCCCATTCAATAAGGAATTTGTAGACCAGCAACAACCAAATGTAAGTGACTTTTAGTGTATCCTCTTATATAAAGGGTATATAGTGCATGCATGTGTATGTATGTATTAGCAGTCTGTGTTTTATATTGTTTTAGGAGACTCCTTTCTTACGGTGTGTTCCATTTTTTTAAACTGCTACATCCCCTACGCATCACATTCTAAAAAAAATACTACAATACAAAATGAAAACAAAATTGTAGCGATAAAATAAAAACATTCCGCTACACATGACCGCTCTGACCACTTGTTGATTGGCCATTCTTCCACAAAATAGTTTTATAGCTTTTCAGCATATTATGCGCCACTGTACCTCAAACAACCCTTGCTTCTTGATCAAAGAACTTCCTTCTAGAGTCCAGAAGTAAAGATGTGATTTCCCGCAGGTCACGATAATGTTTGTGTCCGTCGGATGGAAGTCCGCTACAAATACGGCTTCATTTGAACACTAGAAAGTAATAGACGAGACAGCTGAAATAAAACAAATAACTGTGGCTGACAGTTCCAGTCCCCATTAACTATCAGAAGCCAATCAGATTGATTCTGAATCGCGTATCAGCTGTGAGAGAGTGATCATATGACCATGTTAAATTTCTAGTCAACTCCATCAGTAACATATCCCCATTAGAGATTGCAGTTCTGCAAACCCTTTTAAACTTATTATGACAGTGTTACAATGTAAAATATATATGTGGAGAGGTCAGTTATAAGAGCACGGAATAGTGACATCTTTGTCACAGTAGTGTGGAAGCCAAAGATCATTAAACCAGTGCCAGAAAACATAAACCATTTGCAGTAAAACCTCCTAATGGCCTAACACTAGGGAGAGGTGGATCTCTCAGCCTGGGCATAGGATGTAAAGGAGGATACTGGAAACCGCTTAACCTCCAACTCAGGTAGGTGCCAGCACCTCAACACTGTTGTCAATAGGGATGCACCGATACCGCTATTTCGGTATCGAGTACCGATATTTTTTTTTCAGTACTCGCTAATACCGGAAGTCCCATTCAGGAAGCCAGGCAGCGTGTAAAGACTCACCACCCGGCTTCCCGATAAGCAGGAAAGCCGTCCCCATGCTTCTCGCCACTAGGTGACGAGAAAGCATGGTGCCGGCTTTCTGGCCAATCAGGAAGCCGGGCAGAAAGTCATTACACGCTGCCCGGCTTCCCAATTGGGAAGTGACGAGTGACGAAGGAGCATGGAGCCGGCTTCCCGGCCAATCAAGAAGCCGGGCAGCGTGTAATGACTCGCATTGAAGCATTTGGGCGAGTACGAGTATTCGACCAAATACTCAAGATCGGTACCGATACCGATACTAGTATCGGTATTGGTGCCTCCCTAGTTGTTACATTAGGCACTTTTCAGGTCAGGTCTGGTTCACATTAATTAATCAAGACTCCTTGAGTACAGTCTGATAGCTATATGGTGGAGATTGGTGAGCCCCTATATAAGCTAAGATTGCAGGTTATGAATAGGACACGGTTTGCTGGTCCCATATCTCATGGTTTTATTAAAAAAATATATATTTTATTTTTTACAATACACTTATGGTGCAAGTGTGTGTGATTGAACATCAAGCCAGAGCACAGGCCTCAAATTCCATATTAGAATTCCTCTGGATGTAGCATAATGACAATGTTTGTTTTCACAGATAAAAGGATAACCTGCTGTACATCTGTTACCTTTACATCAGACAGCTTCTCCTCCTTCTGCCAGTCCCACATTGACAGCACGTGGTCATTCGAGTCATCCACCGCACACAGGTTACCTCCTCCGTTCTAAAAAAAGAAGCAAATTATCTGAAAACAAAAACCAGCAACTAGAAGCCCCTGGAGAACGTTAGATACGTCGAGCAGTTCACTGGTGAGGGTACAGATATGGCAACCCAGTTAATGAGCATCTAAACCCAAGAACAACAATGTATTATATTGCAGCTTATCGGTCCTTAGATGTGGTGGCTGCATTAGTTTTCTTTTTTTTCCCCCCTTCATTTTTCCCTGTGATCCTGTCACTAACACGCTTCCTGTCAAAGGGTGACAAAGCTTACTCACTGTACTATACCTATGGGGGAGTAGTGTTGTCACCCTAGGACAGGAAGTGCGGTAGGACCACAGAACACCTAGCACTCTCCATAATAGGGGGGGGGG